ATATATAGGGGCAGATCAAATGCGTCCAGCTCTTAAAATGCGGACATGTCTTAGCAACTACAGACAACTAACCTAGCAACTACAGAGAACTAACCTAGCTACTACTAACCTAGCAACTACTAAGTTAGCAACTACAGAGAACTAACCTAGCAACTACGGAGAACTAACCTAGCAACTACTAACATAACAACTACAGAGAACTAGCCTAGCAACTACAGAGAACTAACCTAGCAACTACAGAGAACTAACTTAGCAACTACATAGAACTAACCTACCAACTACCTTGCCAGCCTTGGCGCCACCATACCAGACTCACACACGTTTCAGACCGACACTGCTCCACTCCACATTCACACGCTTGTACGGATGGACCAGTTTGGATATCCATCGTTTCGCTTTCAGTAGATTAAATTTATTGCTTTTACTAGATTAGGCTTTTATTCATGGGCATCTGTTAGCCCGAAGACAGACTTTGTATTGTTATTTCTTTTTTGTTTAGTTTGTGAGACTCTGTAGACTGTTGACTATTGACATTTTGGGCCCCATTTTGGGGTCTTGATCTATGCACAGGTTGGGGATCCAGCCCAATTCCCCGCCCTTCCGGGCGTTGTTTGTTTAAAAAAAAAAACACCTAGCAACTACTAACCTAGCAACTACAGAGAACTAACCTACCAACTAGAGAGAACTAACCTAGCAACTACAGACAACTAACCTAACAACTATAGAGAACTAGCCTAGCAACTACATAGAACTAACCTAGCAACTACAGAGAACTAACCTAGTTGAAAGGTTAGTTGTCAACGGTCAACGCCGGAAGTCAACGGATTTCGCCGGAAGTCAATGGGTCAAAATAATATTTAAATAATTAAAATAATAAAAAGAAAAGAGTAAATCTTGGCCACACGTGATGTATCAAATCTTGTGGCTAAAAATGAGGCTTACGTCCTCACTTTAAATAAGTGGATGCATTGGAACCAATCCCTATATATATATGAAATATAATTGTTGGCAAAACATTTAATAAAATTATTTAGTTTCCTTTTATTTTCTGTTACAAAATTCAATTAAACGAGCGACGCTGCTAGGGATTAAACGAACAATTGGCTCAATCTTGCAGATTCAATAGCGAATGGAGGTCAAAGAATTAGAACCTATTTTTTTTAATTCCTCTTTAATTCGGGAGAAGACAAAAAGAAAGTGGCTGCAGGAAATAATCGGTTGTTTGAGAACCAATATTTGGTTCTCTATGAATGGTTCCCGAGAATGACTAGCAAACATAGCTTCTTCAAAAAAATCAATCTCTGGGTTCATGTCCTTAATGTTCCTTTTAATTGGATGAGTAGCGAGGTAGGGTTGAAGATTGAGAGAGTTTTTAGGGGTTAAGAATGTCTCTGTTTGTAAATTAGGTGGGGAGTCAGGAAGCTTCATCAAACTCCTGGCTGCAATCAATATAAAAGAGCCTTTACCCAGGTGTACGTTTGTGAAGCTTGAAAATCAACAAATTCTGGTCTCATTCAGATATGAGAGGTTAGTGAACCTTTGTTATTATTGTGGGTGTATTGGACACCTGGACAAGAATTGTAGTATGCAATTGACTGATATAGAAAATCATAAGCCCAAGAAGGCCAATACGGGGATTGGCTGAAGGCATGAGATTTTGTGTTTGGAGGGAAGCAGTCTCACACAAGTGGGTCAGAACATAAGGAGGAGATCCCACATATGAATTCTGGAGTCTAATGCAGTAGCTAGTACATCTAGGCAACCAAAAAATTCTGTAATGGGAGACACAAAGGGACGGAGGGGATCCTGTCACTGGGGCACAAATAGTAGTATCTCAAGAAGATGGAGGCAATGTGAAGTCTATGGATTTGATGAAACCACAGATTACTGGGGTGGAGGAAGGAGGAGAATGAGAAGCCATAGAAGGGACTATGGAGATTAATGAGGTCTTGGCAATCACATATGACCATCATGAGAAGGAACACAATAGTGATGTAATAGGCCATCAAAGAAGTACAGTAAGGAAGATTTGGAGAAGATCCTCGACTAAAGTAGGGAGATTACTAAGGAATCATGATATCACAACTTTTTTACATTCTGTCATTGGTGGAAAAAGAGAGAGAGGGGAGTCAGTATGCAGGCTCAGGAGCAGGTTAATGACGAGGATGAACAGTTAGACAAGAGAGCTAAACTCGCGGTTTAAGAGGTGGAAAAGGCCAGCCTAAAATGAGAAACTAAGAAATCGGAGGACTTTACCAGAACATTGTGTAGTAAACTAGGGGTTGAGGACAGATGGTTCTTTATTAAGCCAGTGGGTACCAAAGGGGGACATATACTAATATGGGATATTGATACTGAGATTAAGCAGGTGTTGGGGAATGACTTTTGTATACAGGTGGAAGTTAAATGTTTAGGGGATCAGAAGTGGATGTGGTATATTATGGTTTATATGAGCACTGAAAGGCAGGAGAGGATAGTGCAATGGAACTTTTTGAGAACTGCCCATCAGCAGTGGGGTGATGTGGTGGTAATAGCTTGGGACTGGAATGATTTGTGCAGCAATGAAGAAAAGAGGGGAGGCAGACAGAGACTGGCTAGCTCTTTTAGTGGTTTTAATGTTTTCATCCATCATATGGGAATGCAGAAAATCCCCCAAAGTGGATCATTCTTCACTTGGGGAAACAATAGTGCTGAGGAGGGATATACTGAGGAAAGGTTGGACAAGATTTTTGTTTCCCTTGGGTGGCAACAACAATTCCCTGGTACTAAGGCTTCAAATTTCTTTCGAAGTTCCTCAGACCATAATGTTCTCTTTTTGGAGACCAATGGACAGACACTTACAAGGAAGAGAAGATTCCAATTCAACAGTGGATGCTCACCAAAGAAGGGATATGTGAGGCTGTGGAAGCTGGGTGGGATGTTCAATGAAAAGGAACACCTATGTTCAAGGTGAAGGAGAAGATAAAAAACACTAACATTGTTGTCCTGGCACAAACCAATGAAGACAAATTTTGAAAACCTAATCTAAAGATTGAATGCCCAGTTACAGGAGATAGATGAGGCCGGGGGAGACAGAGATTGGACTTTATGGGCAACATTGAAATATGATCTCAATAAAGCTCATTATGAGGAGGAAAGTATTGGAGGTTAAAAGCTCGAGCTCTTTGGCTTAAAGAAGGTGATTGTAATTCAAAATTTTTTCATGCATACACCTTACACAGAAGGAAGAAGAATGCAATTCAAAGACTCTTGAGAGATGTTGGAGTTCTATATGAAACTGAGGATGAGATTGAAAACCATATCACAGATTACTATGCCAGCTTGTTTACATCTGAGGGCACTCAAGAGGGTGATAATATGTTAGAACAAATTCCTCAGTCTATCACAGTGGCCATGAACAATGCACTGGTGGCTTAGGTGGAAGAATGTGAGATTAGATACGAAACACTTACTTGATGTGAAAGACGATATAATTGTGTTCGTAATGAGCACATGGGCTCTCTCGACTCTCTTAATATAAATTAGTTTCTCCCTTCCGACCGTCATGTAGCATAAAACTGATAGATTACACTGCGTGTCCTATTGAAGGAGAGAAAACTAATTAATATAGAGGTGATTTTATATTTGATACGTCCATCAAGTATCCAGATTAATGACTCAAATTTGTTTGACCACTAATAAAAGTCTAGCCCAATAAAATTATTAATTATGATCACAATATTTTCTTGCCACATATTCTTAACAAACATTTCAAAATAAGAACTTAATAAAGTTGAATGATGTGGAATATAATATATATTTTCAATCAAGTCATATGCCCAAAAAAGGTGACATTCAATTACGTGGCCATTTAGATCATCAAGCCCCACACACTCATACATAATCACCATTATTACATTAAATATGCTTGTCTCCTCTTCACCCATGCATCCTAACCCCTGTTCCCCCTACTTTTTTTGGTTCATTTTCTTTTATTTTTTTTCTTCCCAAGTTTGGTGAGAGCTAGCTGTTAAACTAATCGAGGGACAAACAAGTCGAGTTGGAACACATTTAGGGGATGCTTGGATATATTTTTTTTGTTTTGATTTTATTTTTTAGTTTGGTATGATTAATTGTAAAAAAAATGGTATGGTTAATTGGTAGTGAGATCTTGAATTTGTATTAGAATAATATTTAAAATAAAATAATTAAAATTAATTTGGTGTAAAAGTAATATAGAGATGATGTGAAGTGATGATTAGTTAAAATTATGTGAGTAGGTGAATAGTGAATTAAGGTTGATATAATGTCTAAGAATGATTTAATGATATTATTTAATTATACTGATAATATTGAGGATAGTGGTGTTGAGTTAAAATTGAGTTAGATTTGAGTTAAAATAAATGATTGGTTAAAAATGATTGAATTTTTCTTAGATAAATTTAATTAACGAGCCAAACGAGCTGTTACGTTTAAAAAAGAAATAGATTTTTTTTTTTTTTACGTAATTTTTAGAACCATTACCTTAACTCATTAATTTTGACAAAAAAGTTGAACTCAAACTTACTTATTGACTCGATTAGTTAACAAGTTGAGTTTTTCTCGGCTCGATAAAGCCTGGAACGTCAACTAGAATATCATTATATTAGCAGCTCGAGCTCAAATCAACTAGTGTAAACTAATCTCGATATGTATGATTTACTAGTTGGCTCATATCTACCAAGTGTGGGATTTTAATCAAGGGTCCCAACCATATCGCCTTCAATATCTTTAATTGTAATGTCCCAAAATTGATACTAATCTATTAAAGTAGATCACACATGTGATCATAAATAATTAAAGTTAGCAAGATTGATCTAATGTGATAACAAATAATTAAAGTTGGCAAGAGAATCTAGGGCTGTTTCAATATGAGTTATAGGAAATTTTTCTTTATTAATATTACAATATAACTTTAAGTAAGACCTAATCATTACTATATTCTATTATTTATTAATGTACAAATTTCCAAATCTTACACTAGTACGTAACCCTGTGCGATGCACAGGATGTATAAGTTATAATACATAGAACATTTGTTAGGTAATCCTAAAATGTTCATCATAAAAAAGGCATACATTATTAAAAACCTCTATGTTTTTTCATGTAAAATATTTTGCACTTGGCAATTGTAAATTGATATTTACGAAGATTGCTCTCCACTTGGTTATTGCGAGTTGCATAGACTTCAAATTTTTGTTGATTTTTAGAATATTACCACCAGGAAACAAAACTATAATGAAAATATGTAATATTGTGATAAATACTAAAAATATGATTTATCTGGTGAAGTTTAATTTTATATAGAATATAAGAAAAGTTGTTACCTTAAAGTGTGGATTTTGAGTATATGTTTTTTTTTAATTATTTTCATTTTTATGCCGAATTCATTCCAATATTGAGAACAATTTTGTTTTTTCTATGTTTTAACAAATATTTGAAATTTTTTATTGTATTTTTTGTAAAACAATATTTACAAAATAATTACGTTAAAAAAAACAACGATATTTTATCATTTGTAGCTCAATACTAACTAAATGAATCGGAAGACATGTAAATCACGGTTTTTAAATGAAAAAAATGTTTCATACATAAATTTGATAAAGAAAGTGATTCAAAATGATAAAAAAAAAATCGCGATAATCATAATATAAACAAATAGATGTTTGCATGAGTAGTGGAATAGTGAATCGAATATTGTGGCAATTTTAAAAAACATGTTACCATGATCGAAATGATATCTTTACAATATTTTTTTACTTTTAATTAAGTTGCATATATTTCATAACTATATGTGAAAAAATAAAAAATTTAAAGTTCAAATATGCGATTTATTTATATGTATATAATAAAGTCTACAGTCCAAATAATTAAATTTTATTTAGCATTTATATTATTAATATTGATACCATGATTATTGTAAATTCCTACTCCCCTTTTTATGGAAAATTTATATTACATTAAAACGAATTGATAAGTCTAGAGATATAAATTGAATCGTGGTTAAATTGTTTGATTTTGTGATTATACAGCTTTAAAAAAGATACTCCATAATATTTGATTCTCTAATAATACTGCTTTTAAATAGACTTGATTCCAAACATCCGAATTTAGTGTTTAATCAAATATTATGGAGTATGTTTTTAAAACAATAAATCCTGTTGTTAAGGGAAGTTAAAACTGATTACAATTAATGCTTCAAGATTTGTTTTAAGGAATTGTGTAAAATTATTATAATTAGAATGTAATTAATGCATTATGGCGAAAAATGCTTACTATATTTGATTTAAGTATATTCTTAATTTATATATATAGATCGATGTCTTTGTAATCCTACGTGACTAAATGGTACTAGTACAAGTGAATTAAAAAAAGTGAAAAGTCTCATTTAAAATACTATAATCTAAGAGGACAAATCATACAAGTGAAAAATCTCATTTAAAATATAAATAATAATGCAGTTTTTTTAAAAATATTTAAAATTTAAATGGAAAAAAAAACCTTTCACTCTTATATTTTTTTAAAAATTCAGCACAAATTTTTTATTAGTAGACGTGTAATCATGAGTGTTGTACTAGTTACTCACTTAAATCTGTTTTGTTTTTATACCCAGGTTCTATGCTTACGTCTGTCAGTACTAGACTCTTGTAGCTGACCAATCGGCTACTTCGGGCGTGGGATGTGACATGTTGCCAGCCGTACCGCCCCCTTTTATACCCCAGCGATACAGAAAGTCTAATGCCACAGAAGTGATTACCAGCCTGTCTCATTTCCTCCAAAAGAGAAAAAAACTGACGAGTGTTCCCTCGATCTTGGATTCGACCCCCCTATGAAGAGCATTCTGGCCCAGCATGGGACGGTCGTGCTACCAGCAGGCTATGTCCCGAGGGGATAAAACTTTGGAGGGTAAACTTTTATACTAGCTAGCCCCACTGCGTCCCCATCCTCAAGAAACCCCAACTCCCACCTAGCCCTACAAATTAGTATATACCGCTTGGTCCTACACGTATGAAGAGATTTTCTTAGAGGCATAGTTCTAGTGGTATCATTTGGAAAGATTCGAACTCAGGAGCACAAGGTGTCAGACAAGATTCTTTGACCAACAGAGCTTGCTCCAACTGATTAAAACTTTGGAGGGTAAACTTTTTATACTAGCTAGCCCCACTGCACGGCCCCATCCTCAAGAAACCTCAACTCCGGCCTGACCGTATGGATTAGTATACTCCGCTTGGCCCTAAACGTATGAAGAGATTTTTCAAGGAACATAGTTCTGGTGGTATCAGTTGGAGAGATTTGAAACAGGACCTCAAGGTGCCAGATCATTTGAATCAAATTTATTGATTCATTCTTACTTTCTAACAATTACTCATTATTTTATTATATTTTCATTTCTATCAAGTTTAATCATCCTATATTCTCATCAGTCACACTTTCTAAGTTATTTTGTTCCTCTCAACAAGGTTTTTCAAACATTTTTATTTAGTGAAGTTATAAAGAAAATAAAAGCTTATATAGTTCTATTTATAACTTGGAATTGTATTCCACTTGGAGTGTCTTAATCTGGCCAGCGCTAGTATAGCTTTCTTTCTTGGGGCATTCGCAAGACATTATCATATTCTATGATTTGGGAAAGACGTAATCTATGACCATCTTTAATTTATGTACTTTACATTGATTGATGTTTGATTTTCAAAAGGCAATGCTCCTAATTACTGGACAGATTTAAAGTAGCCCAACATTGGCATTTTATATGTTTACAAATTAGTTATGTTTTTTCAAAGAAAAAGAGAGTATAATGAAACAAGTTGAGGCAATACAAAATCAGGATTACCAATCCTCTTTAGGATATGACTTTTCAAGTGAATAACTACACATCTTTATAATGGTTTAAATAAATACATACATGTAACTAGGGATTTTATGAACAGAATTGCACAATTGATTATAATTATATGTTGGTTGAACTTTTCGACTAACACGACTTGAATGTTACTTGAAAGTCGTTGATGTCTTGGATTTTATTTTAGATGAATGGATGTCACCTCTTTATATTTCGGAGAGGAACAACGACCTCTTCTTTTCCAATGGACATAATCCGGAGGCTTGATTTCGAGTTGAAAGCTGATCTTCAACTTAAATGCACTTGGATCTTTTATTCTTCTTGGCCCTTTTCTCTATTGGACATACATTGGATGCTTGATTCCGGGTCGAATGTTGATCTTAAACTTAAATGCACTTGATCTTTAAGAACACCTTTTGATATTCAAGAAAGTTCTCAAGACTTCTTCAATTTTGAGACTTGAATTATGAGATATAATTTTTTGTCTTTGAGAAGAGCTCATATTTATAGGTATAGGAGAGAAAGAGTCTTGGAGAATAAAACATTAATTTGATTTGTTTTGATATAATTTCTTTCCTTATTCTAATTTTTTTTTTGTCATAAGATCTTGACTTGGTCGGCAAGAAATATGAACTTTATTAGTTAAGTGTCTTATTTATCTTGAATTTATGTCACAAAACATTTAAATTTATAAACAAGTTCGACTAGTTTATCAAACTTAACGAGTCAAACTCAGAGAAAGTCAAACAATCAACTGTTATGTTTTGGTTCAGAGCGATTTCAGTTCAATTTCAAAATGATTCAAAATTTTTCAAGTCTCATATTCAACCCTATCACCCTTACTTGACGTGATCCTACTGCCTAAATGACCTTCTATCTCTACATTTGTAATCTAATGACCTTCAACCATGTATGAAATTATTAATGTTCAACATAAAACGGTATTGAAGTGAAATCCACTATTTATTCCATATTGAAAACTCAGCTAAATTGTGCAGAGATGAAGATCTCGGTCATGAGGCATTTTGAAAATCAACTTTATTTCAAAAAGTAACACATGAGAATTTATATCAATCCTCACTTTTTAGATGGCACAATTAATTCTCAAAGAATTGACATGTTCTTTGAGATAGAACAATTAGATAATTTTTTACATCCACAAATGTCATTAATCATCCAAGTCAAGTGAAACACAAACCATACAAGGGCAAATATTATAGTCTCGTTACAGAATCATTCTGTTGGGATTTTTAACCGTTAGATGCGCATGCTGCACTAATCTACATGTGCATCTAACAGTTAAAAATCCTAATGGAATGATTCCGTATCGGGACTGTAGCCTTACCCTAAATCAAGACATGGAATAAAAATCTTATTTTACTGTTCAATTTTGGTGGGACAAAATTACATAACATCATCAAAAACTTATGTTGTCAATGTTGATACGTAGGTGGTTTTTCCTTTTCTTTTTTTTAAGGTACTTTTTGAAAGAACTGTTGATTGAATGATATCAACTGGTACGAACGACTGCTATATAGTGTATTGTAATTTCCCACATTTGTTGGCCTATAAAACTAACAAATTTTATCAAAACATTGAATCCCACCAAGATTACAAAATAAGTTGAGTCGAACTTGAACTCGTGTTATTTGAATTGGAGCTCGATCGAGTCTTTATCGAATCGAGTTGAACTCGATTCCTTAAGTAATCGAGCCATAAAAAGCTTGGTCTTGGCTCTTTTATCAAAATTAACGAATTGAAATTGAATCTTAATAAGCCGAGTTAATCTAATACTTCCAAAAATTACATAAAATCCCTATTTCTCAAGAAAAATAAGCATTTCACCTTGAGTCGTTGACTAAATTAGCTTGAAATCGGTTCGCTTGATTGAGCAGAACACAAGCCATACGGAACGAGACAGGCCGAACCAACAAGGTTGTTGGTTTCGTTTAATAGTTCTATATATCCTCCTTAGCTAGTCTTAAAATTTTTAACTATTAATTTAAAAAAAAAAAGTATTAAAACTAATTTTTAGTTTTTACATTTAACCAGTTCTAGTGACGCAGTCAATACTAATCTAAACCTATAATGTAAAATTCCATCTCGTGAGTACAAAATAACTAACTGCTAACACAAACAATCTCCTTGTTTAACTAGCTTCTCATGATTTCCATCATCATCATCATCTTCAGTAACGGAGACCTTTTCGTACCCTTTGGTAAGCTCCTCCGCTCGCCGGGCCTCCAACTCCCAATCCGTCCTGACCAAAACCACCACCATCGTCACCATACACGAGGCCTGGGCCGCCAGAAGCCCAAACCACAGGCCTTCAAAGTCCATCCCACAAAAGAACGCCAGGCCCACCGCCACCGGCATCCCCACCAAATAAAAACAGCCCAGATTCACATTCGCCCCCACTTTGGGCCGAGCCGTCCCCCTCAGCACCCCACAGCCCGTCGTCTGCGGGCAGTTCCCCAACTCACAAAGCCCAATTACCGGCAAGACCATTGACGTCAGCGCGATAATCTCCTCATCCCGCGTGAACATTCCGGCCCACACGTTCCTCACAGAAACCGCGAAAAACAGGGCCGATATCCCGAGCCCGAAACTGCATGCAAGCCCGACTATAGCCGCGAGTTTCGCCTTATCGGGCCTTCGGGCCCCGATCTCGTTCCCAACCCTCGTCGAGACCCCGAAGCTCAGGGATGACGGGAAAATATAGATCAAAGCCGTGGTCTGGATCAGTATGCCCATCGAGGCCACGGTGGCTTTTGGGCTCACGAGAAGCCCACAAAGTAGAATCATTATCTCGTACCACCACCACTCGAGACAAACAGAAATACAACTGGGCAGGGCCAGGCCCAAGAGAGTTTTCCATCCCCTGAAGCAGCCCACTGACAAACGGGCCCACGTCCTCTCATAAGCTCCGGAAAAGAATATGTAAAATATTAATAATACGACGACGTTGAAGTTAGTCCAAACGCCGCTCAACGCGACGCCCTTGATTCCCAAATTAAGTTTCGAGACGAGGAAGTAATTTATGGGCACGTGGAGTAAGATTGAAACGGCGGCGCATAGTGTGAGCGGCAGGTTCACGGACTGGGCCCGGAGGTAGATTCTCAATGGATGTAGTAGTGATTGGGCCAGCAAATCGGGTATCGAGTAGAGTAAATATGTTTGGGCTTGGGCCGCGATTGACTCGTCCTGGCCACATAAGAGGAGGATCCGTTTCACGTTGAGCCACAATAAGGAAATTGGGAAGGAGGTTAGGAGGAGCATTAGCACGGTTCTTTGGAGGGTGAGGCCGAGGAGGGTGTACTTTTGGGCCCCAAAGGCTTGGCCGCAAATGGGCTCCATGCCCATGGCAAGGCCCGAGAGGATGGAGTAGCCCGTTATGTTTGCGAAGCCCAGGGCTAGGGAGCCCCCGGCTAGGGCCAAGTCGCCGAGACGTCCCAGGAAGAGCATAGAGATCATGGACCGGGAGTAGAGGAGCAGGCCCGTGAGGATCATGGGGAGGGCGATTCGGGCCAGGGAGATGGACTCTTGCACGGCGAGGGAGAGGTGGGCCGCTGTGGGCTTGGAGGGTTTGTCCGTTTGGTGGTGGGCCGGTGTTGTTGGGCTTTGGGGGATGAGGGGAGTGTGGAGGTCCGGCTCATGGGCTTTGGGAGGAATAAGGTGGGTTTTGATGTTGGGTGGTGGTGTGGGGGTGTTCTGCTGGCACATTTTTATATTTTTTATTTTTATTTTTGTGAGATTTGTTTGTGTGAGTGTGTGTGTGTGTTTTTTGTTTTCGAGAGAGAGAGAGAAAGAGAGAGTGGGAAGGGTTTGCAAAAATGGTGAGTGGAGTGGGGTTTTATATAGGGTTGAGGCGACCGGCCACAACCAAGCAGAAAGTTGGTGAGCACATTTCTTTAATTTGAAAAATTGAAACCAAGATTCAGTGCTTGTGATATTCTCATGGTGACTACCACATGGAAGGGTATAAATCTCATTCTTAGTACTTCATTTTGAAAAATTCTAAGGTGCATTTATGGTCTTTATAGCTCAAATTATTGTGTAAGTCGATTTAATTGTTACTCGGATTTTTGCTACAAGAGTCAAGCCGACTCAAGTTGATTTGAGCATTGACTGGCTTATCTAGCCGAACTTGATTTTTTCATTGTTGCTTGAGCTCAACAAACTCGATATTTTTAGTCTCAACTCGACTCAACTCGTAAAAAATATATAAATGTTCGGGACGGCTTGGATATCATTAGCTCAAATTTTGTTACATTTTAACTCCAATTTTCAATAAAAAGTTTCTATTCAAATAAATGTTTTTCTTGATTTTGGCTAAAGTTAAACTTGAGTTTGGCCTGAAATTTATTTAGACTATGTTTGGTAAAACTAGTTGATAGCTGATAAGTTAGCTAATAGTTTGTAAGTGAATTTCGAGATTACAGCTGAAAACTAATGACTTATGTTGATATTATAAAAGTGTTTGGTAAAATTAGTCGATAATCCAGCTGAAATAAAAATTTTAACAGATTATTTGAAAGGCGACCCAAAAAAACTTATGAGATAAGCTTGAGCTTTTTAAAAAAGTTCATCCTGTCAAACTAAACTTATTTGTAAACAGAAAGGTAATAAGCTAACCGAATAAGCTAATCAAGCTTATAATACTTACCAAACTCACTTTTTTAAGTTATCTTAGCAAGTTACACTTATACTGGGATACCCCAAGTTACATCACTCATCGATACGATTCATGTATTTTATATGTGCTACCTAGTGAAACATTATATTTATTTATGTGTATATCTTGTAGTGTCCTTAAGAATTTATAATTCTTTCTAAACTTAGATTAATAATATTAAATATTACTCGAGACGCGGGACGTTAGGTAGCTCAGACGTAATTTGCTCAGTCATGGGATCCCAACTCATCATCGGGGTCTGAGCAGCCTCCATAACGTGGTCGGGGAGGTGGTTAGGATTCGAGAGTACCAGGGCCGCCACCGACATGTAACGAACGAACCACTGGTTTGGGAACTTGGTTAGCTTCCTACCCTTGACCTTCTTCGGGTCGACGGGGAGGTAGGTGGTCGTTCCCTCTTGATGAATGGGGGCGTCCAACTCCCCCTCCACGTCACCTCTGGCTACTCTGACAACCTTTTTCTTCGCCCCACCTTGGCTAATGTCACTGGGGCAGGTCACTTCTTGCCCACTCGTCCCGTCGGTCTGCCCATCACAAGCCGACCTCGCGGGCTCAGTCCTAACCACGACTTAGCCGACGGTAGCTGACCCCTCTTCTGCTTTTGCCGCAAGAAGTGCTTGGCTGCCTCCTCGGCCAGATCCTAATCTTGACCATAAAAATGCCATGCAATTCATCTTTTTTTTTTTTTCTTCTCGGGGTTTGTGATTGCGCACTCGTTCTTCTTGACCTCCTTCACAGAAGAAAATCCACAAAGGCCGAGCAGAGGATAGTACACTACAAAAAGAGTCCAAATGAAAAATCGTGATACACCGAGCTGAACAGTTCAGATAATCAATACAAATAACAATAAAAAGCAAAATATTGGAGTTAGCGAAGAAAAATAACCGACCTAGTTCAAAGTTATAATCTACAAAGTCCGGGATAAGCTCATATTTGCGCATGAGCTCGTCCTTAACCAGATCCTTTTAATATCGGTCCTCGGGTTTCTTCCCATGTAAAAGATCTCGTTGGTTGACAAAAATCTGTCCGAGCTCGGGTATCACTTCTCGTACTAAAAACCGGAAAGCCGACCTGTTAGCATAAAACAAAGAAGATTAGAAGCCAAAATATAAACAAAGGAAAAAAAAACTTACAATTTCCCGTCAAGAATTTGGTCAACACAGACAACGAGTTGTCCCTGTAACAACAAATTTTATCAAGAGCATAAAACTTTTGTACAACTTGAATATATATTGATCAAACGATATGCGGGTACAACCTCTATATAGAATCCTATGATTCTTGTCTTCTTGGATCTTCCCTCTAATTTTTCTCTTATTGGATCTTTAACTTGAATGTCGTGGATCTTCAAGAACACCTTTGGATCTTGAAGAACATTTTGGATCTTTAAGAGAATTATTGAGAGCTCTTTGAATTGAGACTTTGATTTATTAGGTATTGGTTTTTTAAGGTGTTGGATTTTTTGAGGTGTGATTTGTAGCATTGATAGAGAGCCCTATTTATAGGTGTAGAAGAGAGAGTCTTGGAGAAGAAGACATCAATTTGATTGGTCCTTCATGATTTGATATAATCTCTTTCCTTATCCTAAGATTTGATATAATCTCTTTCTTTATCTTAAGATTTGACTTGGTGGGCAAGAAATATTTACTTTATTAATTAAATATCTTATTTATTTTAAATTTATGTCCCGAAATAAATAGACATTAATTAATAAAATATTAAAATTTCGATGTCTACAAATGCCCCCTTGAGACTTGTTCACGGACAAAATGTCTTAGTAGTGAATGAGTCTCAAAGTTTTGAATTTGGTTGAGATATGCAGATAGTTTAAACTCTTATCTAGAAGTTCTTCAACTTGGGTTTGTAGATAGTTTAAACTCGTATCAAAGAGTCTTGAAGTGAGGCAGGCTGATGCCTGCTCGCTTATGCTGAAATATCTTGTTGCATGCCCAATATTGGTATGGCTCATATATTGACAAAAAGGAATGAGGCAGGCTGATGCCTGCGAGCGTAGCGGAGCGAGGGAAGCGGCGTAGCGACAAGATAATCACCCTATATATGAGCCATACCAACATTGGGCATGCAACAAGATAATCATCCCATATAATATATATGCGGTGAGGTATAACTAAACTTCTTCTTCTTTTCTTTTTTCTTTGGTATTTCAAAAATTGATTTGAGCGTCGGAGACTCTTGACGCTATTTTGCAAGGTAACTGGAACAATTCGAAGGACGGTTCGCACAACATTAATTGGACCGGATTGAGTGTTTTAAGCATTAATAAGCACGACGTAACATAAGTCATGCATGGATATATGTGAGTTGTAATTAATATTGAATATGCTCAATGAAGTTTTGTTACACATTAATCTTTCTAATAATTTTAGTAATTACTGTGCATAGGATAATGAACCGCAAAATGTATCTTCCTTATGAGCTGGTTTATTGACTCTTTACGTGACCATAACCATATTATCCTCTCTATTTTTTGATAAAGTATAGAGTTTCTCAAGTTTCGTAGCCATGAAGGATGGACTTTTCCTTTTTCTGATTTATTTTATTTTATTTCTTACTTTTTTTAATTAAAAAAAAAAAAAAACAGTGATTTCATCTGTGAAGTCAGCTATCCAAAATTTCACGCCTAACTATTGCAAATACCGGAGTGTTTCAGATTGACTTTCTATTATGCTGGCTTTCATTTTGAAAAACTTTGACTTCTATTAAAAAAAAAAGTAAAACCAAATGACATAAAATTCAAATCATTAACTTGTATAAGTCAAGAACTTTGGTTTGAAATTTTTTTTTGCCATTAGTTTTCTAGTAGTATGAATTTTGATTGGAATGGTTAAGAAAAATGATGTACAGCTAGGCAAGAATATTGACTAACTATGTACAAAATATTCTTTATTTCGAGCTAGTTTGTTGTCTTATGGGAGACAAGGAACTCAAGTGCTTCTCATGCAATGGCATTTTTTGTTTTATATAAAAAAGTGAGCTTTGCCTTTAACACTTGCATAAAAGAAAAATTTTACAAAAGAACATTTATATATGAATAAAAGAAAACACCTTAAATACCGTTCATGAGCTCAATTCAGCTCGACTAGTTAAGTCTCAAGTTCGATTTGACTCATTTACTAAACGATCTCGAACTCGTTCAAAGTTTCTTTAGTTAACGATCTGGGCTCGACTCAGCTCGTTTTAAGCTCGATAATATAAATTTTTATATATATATTTTTTTTTTAATTTGATTCGTTAGTGCTCGAGTTCGACTTGTTAATATTAATAAACAAATCAAATTCAAACTCGATTATTGACTCGGGAGGTCAGCTTAGGTTGACTTGTTCACACCTATATCCTACCGTATGACTTAGCAAAAGCCTAGAAGTTTAAAGTCCGTTTATATTGTGACACCTGGCAGTTCGCACCGAAAGTGTCACACGAGAAAAATGCCTAATAAACTTGTAATATACTTGTCTCTATGATTTTATAAGATTGGGTCAAAAGAGCATGTCTCACTTGTAAGCTCTAATTGCAGCAAAATCATCAACAATAGTTGAAAATATATACTGTTAATTAGTTTCTACTGTAATTTTTGCTTAGACTTGGTGGCGTGGTGTTAAAAATTACAAAGACCAAAGAAGTAATGATGTTCTTTTACTTTTAAATATTATTAGTGCATGGCCTGTGCGATGCACGGGAAAACAATATTACAATTGTATTATAAATTAAATATATGACTAACATTATAATTTATCAATTATTTTTAAATTAAATCGGGTTAGACACAGTCCGACCGGATGGACCGAGAACCGGTTTAAAACCAGTCTAATTCGCTTGAATAAAATATTTGCTCTCGAATCCGTCAACACCAGTCGGTTGGACTGGTAGGATGAATACGATTTTCTAAATAATTTTGTTACATTTAAAATTATTTTAAATAAAATAGAGATTTATAAATTATTTATCAATTAGTTTAAACATTTCAATTTATAAATTGTTTAGATATCTAAGTAACACATTTTATTTATATTTATTACAAAAAGTACTACATAAATATATATATATATATATGTAAATGTTTATAAATTAAAATCTGAACAAACCACAAATGATTTAATAAAATAGCTTGACCGTTTCGATGACGGTCCAGTTCTGAAAACCTTATATTTACTGTACATTAATAAATATTATAATAAAATATTATTTAATTCACATAAATATTAATAAAATGATATACAAATATTCATAAATCATTAAGCATGTTGTCATAAAAGTATTGTTAATAAGATTATTTGAAGTTTGGCCTACATCACATTCACGTAATAACATATTTTCAATATAAAATTTATATTTAGGTTCAATAATCGATTTAGTGTGGTCGAACTGATGCAAAACTTAGTCACCTGGGACCAACCAAATTGTGTCAAGTTTTTTGACTATTTTAAATATCACCTAAAAGTAATTCAATCAACCTGGGCAGTACCCTAATTCAATCACCCGATTGATCCGAAGAAATTTTCTTTTTTCTTTAAATATATTTAATTTTATTAAATAAAAATAATTTACGATTCATACAATAAATGTCTACACCAAATGATAGTACATTAAGATTATAAATTATATATCTAAAGATGAATTAATTATTTTTACTTTATGCATATTAATAAAAATAAACATAGTAATGTTTAAAAATTAAGATTAATTGATTGATTATGCAATTTAAATAATATTTTTAGCGTTCAATATTTTTTTAACGCACAAATATAATGACCGAGATTCTAAAACTTTTGTTATATTTTGAATTGAGATTTTATAAATATAGAACCGAGATTTTAATGTTGTTCGTTGTTTTTAAAAAAAAAATAAAAATAAAAATATACACACTTAATAAATATTAGCCGAATTTTTTAAATAATATAATAAACTAAAGCCCGAAATTTAAGGTAACATTTAATGTTGTATGAATTTTAAAGAAAAAAATAAGAAAAGTAATAAAACTTACTATATATAGGCTGCATTAAATTTTGACCTATTTTTTTGCTACTATTTTTGGTAAATGGTAATTCTTATATAAGTTACATGTATTAACAATATATAAATATACATACAGATTCAACTACATGTTAAATTCTTCAATGTATGATATAATGACTAACTTTGAAAATCTGATGTGGATGATGATATACCATTTTTTCAGTTGGCGATTATTTGAATCATTCTTATGTCGTGCTTTTACTACTCACCTGTCGGATAAGTCTTTCCAAAGGAAACTAAAAATCTTACTTTTTTTTCAACAGTCCATTCATAAGGAAAAACAGCATCGGTTCTTGGTGGAAATGGAATTTGATAAGCATCACGCAATAGTGGGTCGGGCAAGTGGGCCGTAGATGGCTCACCCGACATTGAAATGGGTTGGTCTAAGACCCTTTTGGTTTTGTAGGTCATTAGGGCCCAAAAGTAGGGCCCATATTTCCTCGGAAGAAAACAATTGTTGCGGTCCCATAAACGTATGGGAAGGGTTGGTAAAAAATCCGGTCCGAGTTTATGGACTAAGTTTATTTAAATTTTTTAAGTGGTCGGAATATGATCAAAGATTGTTGGATTTTGCAGATAATTTATTACTCTTATTCTATGTTTTGTTGTGTTTTTTGTATTTTTAATGTGGTTAGTACAAATGATTTTGTACTGCTATTTATAGTAACCTTGTATATTTCTTGTGTGATCATCTTCACATGTGACGTTTAAATTGGCCTAATATAATATGACGCACATCCTTAATTCTAACAAGAAGAACGAACTAAGATCTTAATCCATTATTTTTCTTAATCCATGTCACGTTTAAATTGGCCTATTTACATTAGGTGTATTTAGAAAGTCTCTCCCCAAATTATAAAAATAGTTTTCTTAATCCATCAATAATTATTTTTTATTTAATCTTGAAATCAACACTATTTTTCCTATCTTGGTTAAATTTGAATTTGACATATAATTTAGTTAGTTAATAATTCACATAATTAAATAACTTTTCACACAAATCATTTTAATTTAAATTTATGACTTTAATAGTTAATCTATTTTTAAAAAAATATAAGATAAACATAGATTGGATATATAATTTTTTCCCTTTTATTAAATCGTGATTTATCTTGTTGAAACTAAGAAAATAACAAAACAAATATTTAATAAAATTATGATGTATTTTATTTTACATTTTTCTCTACAAGTAACACAATTAAACATATACTTTATTATTATTTTTATTTTATATTTTATAATAAAATTTTATTAACTCATGACTAATAGTTCATTAAATTACATCTGTTTTAATCAATACATTTTTATTTTNAAAAAATTTATATACCATCGCAACTTATAGAGATTATCTATTTTTTATCAAGTTAAGATCTGACTCATAGCTGATATTTGTTTTATCAGTCCAATTGTTTCATTTTTTAAATTTACCACGTCACATTTGTTAATTATTCCCTTTATTTTATTCTAAATACAAGTAGCCTATCTTAATTGAAAGACATATTTTTTTTTTCTGATTTGTACATTGAGAACTATCAATAACGCAATTATGTTGAGCTACATATTCCAATTCAGTCCACGACATATAAAAACAAATAATTGAAAGTGAAAGTTATATATTGTGATTTTCTTTTTCCTTTTTTGATAGAGAATGATTCTATAAGATCAAATTATAAGATGATCGATATCTCAAATCATATTCCATCACTAGTTGTTGGCTAATTAATAATTATTAGTACGTATCTACGCAAGACATGATATAATCATTAAAAGGAACACTTAAAAAAAAAAATCTTCAAGATTCTTATTGATGCGAGGGCATAACTTTGTGTGATTTGTAGAATCAAAATTAGGAAAAATAATATCACTCTTACTACTATTATTGGTGAAATTACAAGTAATTGAAGGCATTAAGATCTAAAAAAAAGCACATTTTTTTTCGAACATAATCAATTATGATTCAAGCATGAAGGGAAGTCAGCTGCAGCAAGGAAATCTTTGATAATCTGAAGGGATTTTTTTTTATTTTTTTTTTTTCAGGATTAGTCAAAACCATAGCCGTCAAAGACCAAGAGAACTTTAGGTGATAACCAAACATTAAAGACCAAAACATACTTCCATTATTAGAAAGTACAGTGCTCGAACGTGGCCCATTTCCATGATGCCTTAAAAGTTTGAAATTAGTTGGTGTATATATCGTCTTGCTCCTTCAAATCTCCAACTTTATTCCTTTTGTGTAAGTAAAAGGAATACAATTAATGTCAAACAAATATATGGAGAATAAATAGACAAGGAAAGACAAAATATAGAGATATTTCTCCTTCATTAGCATTAATTTTAAGTTACCTATTCTAAAAATAATAAAATATTAAATAAATATTATTTTCGATATAATGCTACAAGATCTATTTTATTAGAAAATTTAAACAATTTTACACAATTTTAAGGCGGTCGCATTTTTTAAATTTTCGTAATGGTTTGGTATTATAGCCACTTAATTGTATGTTTAAACTTGTAGAAAACATTGAAGCTAAGGCGTGGCCAATGATTGATCGACATGTCAACCATGGATCAGTTAAGCGCATAGCTGAACTTGTGATGAAATACTGAATTAGTTTAAGATATTAGTTTATGAGAATCAAGATATTGTGAGCTTAAATTTAGAAATATAGCTGAGAAGGCATTTTTTGGTTGTTTGTATTGTTGATATTGTATAATAGTGTGCTGTCCTTATGTTTGCCTGAATCATTTTAGGGCCGGCCCTAACATTTTTGGGGCCATGGAGAAAATTGAGTAAGGGCCCTTTCTTCAACACATACACTTAATTAAAGTGAAAAATAATAATAGACAAACATATAAAAAAAGAGTTTGAGAATCAAACAATAAAAATAAAACACCAAAATTATAAAATATAATCGAGAAATATAACTTGATTTATGCCTTAGATAATGATCTTCAAATCCAAAAAACCCTAATAATTGTAGTAGGTCTCTTGGTTGGGTGTTTCACTTTCGCGAATTAATAGAAGAATCAATTGAAGACTGAAAATAAAGGCTTAATCGTCGAAGTCGTTGCTCCAAGTTGTTTATCCGCTACACTCAAAAAATCTTCCGCCCGTTAGAAAGTAGAACTTGGAAATAGATGTAAGGAAAAAAGAAAAGCAAAGCACGGTGCTATAAAGATGGGGAGGAGTATAGTGCACAATGGTGTTTACGAGATGGAAATAATATTACTCTTCATTCAAAAGTATCCTTGTCGTCATCTTAGCCTACCACCTTTATCTTTTTTTTTTTTCCCTACCATCTTTATCTGAGCGTGGGAAGTTGTGTGGAAATATTGGATGAGGAATATTGATGGAAAAATTATTTTGATAATCTCTTCATTTGCCTTTCCCGTTGCTTCCAATTCCAAAAGAAAAAGTGATTTTGATTTTTTTTTTTATTGCTTATGATTATTTCCTTAACTGTGTTTGGGCTTGGGCCAATAAAAGCTAATTTCTTTGTGGGATTTTTAATTGGTAGAAAAATTCACTAACAAAAATCCATACACATATATATAATGTAGATATAAATTTGGGGGCCCATGAGCAATGCCCACTTTGACATTCGTCAGGGCCGGCCCTGATTATATTTTGGGTAATCAAAGTATGCATGCCTAACTATTTCATTCCCACACTTACCATTTTTCTTTTAATAACAAAATATTTTTGGTTACTAAATTGATGTATATAATAAAAAGTATTATATACATTGTGTGTCATCAAAATTGTTAAACTTTCCAAATTTTTTAAGCCAGATCATTAGGGGATCAAATGGACTAAAAATGATGTATCTTGACTTGACAAATGGAAATTCTTTTATATATCTCAAAATGAAATTACCCACAATTATTTTAAGTTAAATATGAGCTTTCATTCAAAGCAAAGATTATGGTTGATTTAATATTTCGCCTTTTGATAATGTGAATTAAGTTTGTTGCAATTTCAGTCCTCAAAGGATTAAAATTGCAACAAATTCTCAAATTTTCAGTTAGCAATTTAAGTTATATAATTAAAAATTTTGTTATTTCAATCTTGTAATTTAAATCGCTAGACCAAAAGACGAAAAGTTAGAACCTTAAGACCAAAACTACTATGGTATTAAACCAAAAGAATGAAAATACATTTTTCCTCTTTGAAATGGAATCTATATATATTTGCTGGCTAATAGCATTTAATAAAACATTTAATAAAAATCATTTCGATTTCCCTCCAAAAACCGTTACAAACTTTATCATTTATATATCTCTCTATATTTAATTGCCAACAATAAATTTAACAATATTAATTATTGTTTACCATCTTTTTATGTTACAATCTTCTATTATTATTATTATTATTAATCCATCATATCTAATTAATGCTAAAATATTTCATTGCACTTTTTTATGGTTAATTAAAACAAAACCGTTACATTTTATATTAATGGAGTAATAATTATATTATTTTACTATATCATATAATACTTGTTATTAAAACTAATAATTATAGTTTACACTAAATGATATATGAAAAATACATAAACATAAAAAAATATTGTAAACTTTTTGCTAAAGTCATTTATTCTAAAATTAATATTATTTTTTTTTTATCTTATTTAGCGATTGTAGTTTTAAATAAGTTAATTTATTTTAATGTTATATTAAAATTCTTAAAATCGTATAATCAAATATTATAATAAATTTAATATTTTTAAGCTAATAAATTGGCGATCACTCAAAATTACATTATTTATTATATTTTATGTAATTAATGTAGTGGTTCATATGCAATCAAATAGTTATGTACTATTTATTTTAACCAATGATCAAATTTTAAAACATAATATCATTATCTTATTTATATTTTTATTATTATATGCATAAATATAACTTATAATACTCTATGTTTAAAATATAATATCATTGTGTAACTTATAATTTTAATACTAGCATAAATATAACTTATAATATTCTATTTACACTGTGCAAATGCACAGGGTCGAATACTAGTGTGAAGGACAAATCTAACCATTTATTTGCGCGGAATTAATGAATCAAATTAACCAATTGAGATTTATAATAAATATAAAAAATAAAAACTAATAGTCATCCTATTAGAATTAATTATACAACAAAAAGTCAATTTGACAAGAGTTAACTGACGATTAGCAGCGTTGACCAATATTGACCGTAGCTGCACTGACAATTTTAAGGTTGTACATTCAATTCATATAATAGTGCATATTTATTTTATACGTAATTGCATACTTAGTAGATGTTATGTGCATGTTTTGAAGCTCATTATACATAATTTCATACTTAATTGATGTCAATTGAATACTTAATTTCAAAATTGACAAATGCATACTAAATTCATATTAACTGCATATTTTGGTATCGTCATTGGTCGCATGAATAAGCACTTTACCCTCAACCCCATCATAATGGCATATTATGATAAAAGAAACAGAGGAATACGAAGATTGCCCATCGGTTGCCGGGTTTCTACAGGCAACAGACAATGTCCAGTCAACAAAATATAATAGAAGTAAACAATCCACATGAAGCCAACAAAAAGGCAAAAAGAAAAAGGACAACGGAAGTTTTAACAAGTTTCAGCAAAGACCAGTCACTAGCTACATCAGATTCAGAGCAAAATCCACAAATCGAATATTCAGAAACAAATGCAATGTCCATCTAATCTAAAACAAAGCGACAATTCTGACACGGGGGTGTGAATGTGATTCTGTTACCTCGCCAGTAACAATGTTTGTGAAGTGTAGCAGCAGTACTGGCTTCAATCAAACCGAACTTATCATCTAATTTTCAAGCTCTCGCGCCCCAGGCGACTGACTGCATTTATCAAACCAACTGCATCAACACAATATTTATTTTACTTTTTTACCCAAAAAATAGAAACATACACACATACCTCCCATACCCATGCTCACGAGGAGGGCTTTCTGCGTCACTATAAACCGGACTTCTCTCACGGCCATAGTCATCTGGGCTCATAGCTTTCTCCCTATGCTCCTCTCTTTTGGGACTTGGACTTGGGCCATGCCCATAGCCCGGGCTCGCGTTGGCCCGGCTGGGCCCATGGCCATTGTCCCCATTGGACCTCTCCCTCTGCGGACTCGGGCTGCGCTTCCGAGGGCTTGGGCTGCGTCTGTGATGGTAATCAGAATCTCTCTCCTTCCTCGGGCTTGGGCTTCTGCCACGACCACGGTAAGAGTCCCGTTCTTTCCTGCTGGGGCTGCGGCTGGGCCTACGAGCATAGTCTGGGCTAGCTCGCTCTCTGTGGTACGGGCTTGGGCTACGGGCCCGACCATGCCCGTAATCAGGGCTTTCCCTATCTCTCCTACGTGGACTGGGGGATCTTGCCCTGTCATAGCCGCTCCTTGGTGATCTCTCACGGCCTCGGTCAGGGCTGTGCCCGTTTCGCCTGTCGTCATCATCCTTGACAGCATATTCGACAGTGATGACACGATCCAAAAGTTTGCTGTATAAAATACACAAGCCAATCAGATTCTAACTGCAGGATTCAGTTTGAGAATAAGCTAGGTTTTAAGATCCCTCATCAATAGAACTCACCTCATGTTGGTAGCATCTAAAGCTTTTGTCGCATCTTCTTGAGATTCGAACTGCACGAAAGCGAAATTCCTCCTGATTCTTACGTTTGATATTTTCCCATAAGGATCGAAATGCCTCTCCAAATCCCTTGTTCTAGTATGATATGGATCAAAGTTGATTACAAACAGGGTCTTCGAGGGCCTTATGTGAGATGAGGATCTTCTACTGCTTTCTGGTCGCCTGCTGATCCTTTCTTGCTGTTATTCAACACAGGAAAGGAAGTTCTTGCACTTAAAAAAATTAAAGGCGTTGCAACTCACCTAGTTTCTAAAATGACAAGCTGACATTGCATATTTTACCTTGGTCCACTCAACACGGAGCCTACGGCCCTTTCGACCAAATTCAATTCTGTCCAGAGCACGAATGGCATCTTCCGCATCTCTTTCATCCTCCATGTAAACAAAAGCGAATCCTAACACACAGAAAATACACAATATTACTTTTCAGAAGCTAGGAATGTCTAACCCACGGGCATAATGCCATCAATTGATTCGTCCACAGTTAAGTATATTATAAAATCCATGAGTAGACAAACCACATACATATACCACCAGGTCGCATTAGTTAAAAAAAAAACCGTCCTCTCTATCTAAAGATTACCACTTAATCAGTAACATTGGCCACTGAACTCAGGTATCTCAATGGACAACTATCCAATGATCGATGTCTCACGATTACAGCATAAAGTAACTGCCTTACCAATTTATCCAGGTGCCTCGCGTATAATGTGGAAAAGGGAAGGATGGGCAAAAGTCATGTGGAATGAAATCATAAATGACCGAGGAAAATGTGTGATTGGAATGTCATGGATGTCATAGGACTCTTCTAGGAAATTAGATGAGATGCTTGTCACTGCCAGGGAATGAAATGCACAAGTAACCCTTCCATCAGCCATGGATAGTATTGACATTGCAAATGAAATCCTGCGCCAAAGAATTAATTGAAAAATGGACGTCTGACACTTAAAAAAACACACTTTGCTTGTTTTATACACATCCTCACACCCCAAGAAACTCAACAAAGACACATTTATGTCTCTGTAGGCAAGTTTATGTGGGTACTCCACTGAAGCGGCTCCAGCATGTGCAGAACTCTCCCGAAGCTATCCAGCAAAAGTTTCGAGAACTCCATTATCTTCTGGTAATTGATCAATGATGTGTACTAAAATTTTAGTTCTACCACTAGCTAGAATACATTTTGATACTTTATATCTCGTGTACTTGTCGCCTAAATACGTAAGAAAAGAGTTGCAATCTCACATAAGGGTTACCTAATTACAAATCAGTTACTACTTCACACCAAAATTTATTTATTTATTATTTTAGGTTACAAAGTACCAAAACTGTAGCTTTCCCGGTATTTACTCCTTGTGGTGTGGCATCTGGAAAGTCTCTGAAGCTCTCATATAACAATGAAAACGGTAGCAGCAATTGGTTGACAGAGCTGTGTCATGAAACTTGAGCACAGAAGTAAAAACTACTTTTCCCTCAAAACACAGTGCACGTAAATTGTAAATTTGGTAGTCATATGTTGCCCCAACGTGAAAAGAAAAAGTGATCGAGTATGTTAGTTTCTGGAAAAATAAATTACCTTTTGTGGTACTGAAATAAAAACAAGCATTCAGTTCACTACCCATCAATTGACTTAAATTTTGAATTTTAAATGCCATTGAAATGCTACAAGTATTCATATTACATCACCTCAATCAATTTCTAGATTTATAGGTCTAAAAGGAGCATGTTATTTCAGGCACCAAACTTCCCTTGCTCAAAAGGTTGGGCAAAAGAAACTCAAAAGGCACATTTGAAGGTAACTGCATGTTTCCATCAATGATGAACATGATATTTATGAACACTAAGTGCATAGGTATACAAAAAAAAGGTTCAGGGCAATAAGACTTACCCGACTTCATATCAACCCTATCAACCTTCCCATATCTTCTGAAAAGCCGTTCAAGTTCAGACTGCCGAGCATCATAATCAAAATTCCCACAGAAAATTGACCTCATTTCACCTCAACTCTGATATTCACCGCCCTTTAGATGTATAAAAATAAAACAATTCAAAATAAAATATATCAAGCTAGATTCATTTGTTTACAGTCTTCAGTACCAGATCTATATAGGGACCTACAATATAGTGATGATCCAGCATTCAATTTACCTCATTAAAAACAATCGAACCATAAACCAACTCACAAATTGGATGATTTTTAGTTAATACGAACAGCTACAAGTAAAAAGCTAAGATACTACAAGTAAAAAGAACGAAGCAATGAATCTGGAAAAGGTATTCGGGAAAAAAAGAAAAGGGTAACAAAAACTCCATAGATGCAGAAAAAAAACAGATCTGAGACGAAATAAACTACAGACGGAGAAGACGATGATTTACTGCAAAAAATCGCTTAATTTGAGTAACGACGGCATACCTTCGAAGTGTTGAAACCCTAGCTGTTGAGGTAATCTCTCTCTCTCTCTCTCTCTCTCTCTCTATAATGAGTCGTCAGCTAAATACGAGTGCGTAATTGCATCAAGGTGGAGCCGTGGAGGGTTAAATTGGTCTTCTACTTCTAGATATCCAAATAGTTATATTTTCGGATCGGGTCAAGTGAAAATACATTACTATTACATTTTATTTTAATAAAAATACAGCTTTCAAATTTAAAAATATGTATAAATTAGTAAACGAATTACACATCAATAAATAATGTAATTTAAAAATAAATAAAAACATAAACCATAAATATAAATAGTAAAATGAGATATATTTGTAATTAAAAAAATCATAATCACTCTTTGGCCAATACTAAAAACTAGTGTATACCCCGTGCGATGCACGGAAACAATATTAAATTAATAATATTATAAATAGACCTCGAGTTTGAGTCACTCAATGACGGAAGTAAAAACTACTATTGTTCCTATTTAAAAAGAGGAAGCAAAAAAAATAATTATAAATTAAAGAGGAGGATAAACAGTACTTAAAAATTATAAACTAAAGATTCGGGGTCAAACAATGTAAAATTATTTTGTATAAGAGAACATAAAAAAATTTGATTACACACCATTTCAAAATTATTATTATACTTTTTTGTATGGTTAGCTTATAATATTTGTAAAAATATTAGTAATTATGAAAATTAGCTTCTTAAAGTAGATAATTAATTTCCTGTAGTAATTATGAATTAGTTTCTATTTTATTTTATTTTTTCTTTTTAAAAATAATGGATTTCTAGTAGTAATTATGAATTGGTTTCTATTTTATTTTATTTTTTTAAATCTGAATAGATAAGGGATGAGATTTTTTAAACACGTGAGATCGTATGCAATAGGATTTTGTAACAGAAGAGATAAGTGTGTAGATTTATACTAAAAATAGGAAAAAAAAAACAAATATTTATTGTCAAACAACGGTTTTGATAAACTAAAAAAAAATGAACCGATTTTGTTGCTTATTCAGATTTGTCCAACAATTACTATATTAGGATATATTTAATGATCTTGGCGGGAAAAAGTTTCTAAATTTGTAAAAAGGTTATTCTTTTTATATAATGATAAATTATTTCGCTATTATGTAAAAATTACTCCCATGTTGGGCCTAAACTAAAAGTTTGAACACAAGTTGGGAGATTTGATCCATGGTATTTCTAATTTTAGTTAAGCAATGATTCCAAACAGTTTTTTTGGATTCATATCCCCCATTCTGAAAAAACTCACTATATAGTCAATTTGGCGTATAGAATTTTTGATTTTGCAAAAAGAAGTAGTCAATTTGGAATATAAAATTGTAATTTTACTTATTTTTACAGATAAAACAATTTATTACTTACACTTTACATAATCTCCTAATCCAATAGGATGGTCAAATATTTTAATTCAATCAGCTATCCATTCAAAGACGGACCCAAATTGGATGCATGGTTTTTTGATGAATATTGGTTTCTGTTCGATAGTTGGTGCCGAATTATGGGATTTGTTCCAAGGCCTGGCATTGGCATGGGATATAGGTGCCCGTAAGATTCAGGTTGAGGTCGACAATAAGAGTATTATTGAGATGCTACAGACTCGTCGTTATGACGGGCGACATGGTGGGCTTTTGAAGGGGATAAATGAGTTGCTGTGTCGCTCTTGGGTGGTGGAGATTAATCATGGTTATCGCGAGGCCAACTTTGTGGCCGACTACTTGGCTTCATTGGCATCAAAGGGACCGGGTGGTTTGCAACGGTTGGCAAGCCCTCCGCCGGGGGCGAGTATTTGGTTACATCATGATAGGGTTGGTGTGTCCTACCCTCGTTCGATCCTAGTTTAGGCTCTCTGTAGCCTCCTTCTCTTGTACCAAAAAAAAAAAATAATAATAATAAATAATTGTTTTTTTTACTCTTTTTTAATTTAAGGTATACTAGAATTACTAATATTTTTATATTCCTAGCTCAATGTTCTAAAACATCTATAATTATTTACTTTAACTATGGCGTAATTATAAATCGATTTAGTGATTCCCTAACTATGTATTTAGTTGAATTTTGAAAGTTTTAGTTGTTGATTTTTTACTTCATTCTTTGTGAAATTATATATTTTTAACTCTACTAATTTTAAAGAAAATATTCATCTAATAAGTTCTCATCAACAAAAAAGTTGTGAAGCTATAAAAATCCAATTAAAGTAACATTTTCAACCGAAAACTTATTCCATTATAATTTTTAAATTGGAACTTGAAATATAAATACATGAAATCACATATTTATTTATTTATTGGTAAACTTCGAAGTGGTACAAATTCTAAATATCTAAACAAATAGGTAGTGCGCGCACCAAATTTGTATCTATAAGTAAAAAAAAAAACATATTTAAAATGAGCATTACAACTTAGGCTATAAGATCAATATTTAACATTAGAAATCGAGGCTCCCTAGGTAGAAATTCCTGGGTTCGTCACTGAATCCACTATCACATAATTGAATCAACTTTCAACTATCTGCTACCATAATGGTCATGTTAGCATGATATAAAAATTGTGCTACCTAAAATGCGGTTGGCAAACATTCATTAATCTTTCTCATTATAATATAACCAAAATCAATACTCAAATTTGCCTACAGGTAAGCTGGTTGTTAAACAACCAAAATAATAATAATAATAATAATAATAATAATAATAATAATAATAATAACTGCACATACAAATGCACTACTCTCATTCAGCTCTGAAAAGAATATTATCCAACCTGAAGACTTGACACGAAAAGCACTTGTTTCAAGTGTATTCTTCTTTGCCCATATATTTTTTTTTTCCCCAGTATGGAAACGTTCGGAAGTTACTATTCCGACAACTTCAGCCAGCTTTTAGGACGAGGAAATTATCCTGGCCCGTGACAACCCAAAAACCCAAAAGAAGTTTCAAGGTGATCGATTTTTTTCTAGTAAACTATACTCGAAAAAAGTATTCGTACTGAGGAGAGAATCTGCCCTTTAGAATGTAAATGACAAACAGGAAAGAGAACAAATTTTGACACCTCACATCTTTTTCTACAAGGTGTACAGTAATTGTCAATTATGAACAGTGTTATTCAACAATGAACTGTATTTTATATGTAAGTGAAATATTATTTGCATTAGATCATACAACCCAATTATGCTCGATAGCTTCGACTTATACAAGTGTGCGAACACCATTGTATTTTCAGTGAGAGCAGTAATTTGAAGCTCATAAACACGAGTCCATGAGGTAAGAAAGCATTACATATTGCAAAACCTGGGAAAAATCTAAAGACAAATTCCAGTTTACGGTGCATTAAACCAAACACAGACCAAAAGGACCTAAAGAATAAAGATTGCTCCAGTCCATTTGGACGATAAACAGAAAGAAACCCACTAACAGTAAGGCATCCAAAATAAACACATTAGTTGCAAGAAAAAAAAAATGAAAAAGGGAAAAAAGAGGCTACTTTTGCTTCTTCATGAGGATGGAGGTTCGAAACACGCTGTCATCCCGAACAAAGCTCCACCACAAGTAAGTAAGAGGAACTGTTGATGCATGCCAAAGAGCATGAGCATCTACAAATCCCTTGTATGGAGGGAAGTCGTATATCTCTAGAAGCATGGCAAATGCGCCTCCAATCACGACTACCCACAATTTCAAACGGGCCGGGTGATTAGTGAAGCCCGCCCAAATGGCCCACACGGCAATCTGTACTATACCCATTGCCACACATACTATCATGTTCCATCCTGCAGATAACATACAACAAGATTACCAGTAGTGTATGCTATATCTTAAATATTTAAAAGGGTACCATGAACTTTCGTGTCACTTTTCAATCATTGCCAACATACATCTTGCATACAAAAAAAATTAGAATTTATAATCTTATTTTCAAAGACCTAAGAATATAAAATTGGAGAAAGTGCAGTAACTTTTCATTGTGATAATTAAATATATTTTATTTTTTCAAACTTACAAACACCCCCTTGGAGTGTTATGTATCGGTCTTTACTAACAAATATCCTTATGAGCATCAAAGGGAAAGACCAAGATTTATTTGTTGACTTTTGGACTCGGGTTTTTGGAAATAAATTAAACCTTGGGGTAGCATTTCTAGTCAACCTTGTTCCAAATAAAAATATAATACATGTAACATGAGTCCACGCAACCAGATATAGCAACATTGTCGTGTTTGTTTCTTGTTAAGGCAAATTCTAATTTCTTTCTCAGCAATCGACAAAAATGAAAGTTCAAGGTGATACCCATGCTATCTATTCTCTTACTAGTATGAATGCAAGTGATAAATTGAAGCTAAAGATTGTATACGAACAATTTAATGTAACTCAAAAAAGTAGTATGTAGGGGGACTTACCATAGTCAAGTTGATAGAAATTTAAATACAAGATATGGGTTGTCACAAAAGCAAGTAATGGGGCAGCAATCATGACCCTAGCAGCCTCAAGTCTCACATTGAAAGCTCGTATTACAGCCAGAATGAGAGAATATCCAAGCAATGCCACGGCTGATGAGTAATCCAGTTTCTCAGTCAAATCAACATCTCTGCATATCATTTCAAACCTCGAAGTTCAGATTGAAACTAGACAACAAACCAAAGCAGAAAAGTGTGCAAAAAGCAGATATTCCCTACACATATACTATAAACAATCTTCTAAATACATGTAGGAACAATTTCAGATGCTATTTTATTACAAAAGGAAGAAATTATGATTGATGAGCACTTCAGAAGCTATTTATTATATTATATAATTATTGCATAAAAGCATAAAATGAGGAAGTCATGATGCGCACCGACTGTGGAAAACTGCACTCCAAATCCACGCATTCATAGCAAAGATTGCGTATATGTGCCACAGGCCTGTGTACTCATAATATGTCTTCTTATTCTGCTTAAAAGGCAGTTTGTAGTTCACAAGGATGAAAAAAGATACCCATCCATGAAAATGTACAGCAAGATTTAATGCCGAGAAAGCCACAGAAACTGGTTCCTGATTATAATTTGAAACGGTCACTAAAAATAAAATGAAAAAAAAAAAAAAAAAAAAAAAAAAAAAAAAAAAAATGGTAACATGATCTGATCGAGACTTTCAAAGAAACACCTCTTTTTTTTCCCCTTTTACTCTACCTGGATTCCGAAAATGCGCTTAAATGGCCACTTCCCATGGTACTTTACAGGCCTGTAGCCAAGTTTTTGTCTTTCATCTTCTCGAGAGAACATACAATGATAACGACAGTCACCACGGCAATCCCATTGCTTCCACTGAACGTAGAGCGGCTCCTGCAGATACCATGGCCCATCAACGGGAGTTCCATCAGATGAAAAATTACAGTGTTGAAAGCATTTGTTGCCCACACATCCTGTCTTTTCACATTCTTCAAGACAAGACCTAGCAATGCCGTTCAAATTTCAAGGAGTTAAAAAGGGCCTGTCTAAGTGAGCAGTATGACGACACATCTACCCTTAGAAACCAAAATGGTGGGATAATGAAAATTTTCTTATAAAATTAACCGATAACAAAATCATAAAATATTAAAAAAATAGGGGCATGTGGGGGGGAATTTTGATAAGGATTAGATGCAGAAGAAGGAAACACAATAATGGCCAGGCTATTTTTGTTTTTCACAAAATCCATTTGAAAAGGAGTATAGTTATCATTACTATTAGTAAAAAGACACCCATCCGAAGTCTCTCAAGAGAAAATTCCGATCATATAGCTGACAAAGAGCTAACTTAAGCCAACTAAGAACCAAATCAAATTGACACCTACATGCAGCAAAAGAACCAGCTTTGACATGAGAGCATACTAAAGATTAAGCATACAACTTTTCCTGGTCAATTGAGGAACATAACATTGCAAGAGCTATCAGTATGGAAATAAGTAGACTGTGTGACAGGCAACAGAGAAATCTTTCACATGAAAACCATAGAACAAGAGTTTAGGGAAAAAAAAAAAAAAAAAATATCCCAATTTTTTGGCAATTCAAACATATCCCGATCAATCAGTATTTCAACTACAACCTCAATCGACCAAAAAATCAAACCTTCAACCACTATCTCAGAAAATTACCCAACAATTACCCTAGCTAGCTGAAATGAAAGCTTACTTGTACATCGGATCGGCATCGCCGGGGCTCGCTTCGAGAAATCCGACAAAGCACGAGAGCGCAACCAGAACAAGAACGAAAGGGCGTTGTGCCATCAGGTTCGATCTTACAAAAATAACGCAGGGGACCAAGCAAAATAATAATGAAATAAAAATCAAGAAAATTGCTGGGTGGGTTGTGAACTCGAGCTTTTGCGCTTGCGAGCAAACAATGATGTGATTTGATTTCACCAACTCCCCTTTAAACTCGGGAAGAAGAACTATAAAATAGACAGATGCAAGTGATTGGGGACATGGATTTTACTGATGCTAGTGTTCTTCCCTTTTGGGTCGTGCAAGAACGGTTCTCTTCGGTCCAATGCTTTACATTTGGGCTCAATGCTTCAAAAAGAGAAAATTACACCATGTTTCAAAAGTAGGATCTACCTCCCTTTAATTAATATACCACATTGATTGCATGGATATTAATTAAAAAATACTTATATAACATATAAAAAAATAAAAAGTTAACTTTCTATTTTACGGTTGGTTTTGGCTGGAGCTTGGTCGGACCCAATCAAGGAATTTGGACCATTGTGCAACGACGACATTTATATAGTGTGGTGTGTAAAACAACTTCGTTCGGGCTTGAACGACTTGAATTTGCTATGGAGCGGTTTAAAGACCTGCAAAAAAGCATAGTGGTCTAGACGTAGAGACACCTGAATCTGTTCTTGATCGGTTCAATATACCTACAAAAAAAATCGGGAGTGGTCTAGACGTAGAGACTCCGACAATCAAGTCACTATGTAGACGAATAAGACAATGAACAGTAGCAATATAGTTTTTATGTATGTAATAGTGTGTATAATGTAAATGGACATACACCACCCTTGTATATAGAGGTGTTACCTTGTTATCTGAGACTGTCTGGATGAGTTGGCCGAGTTACCCGTTTGTACTGTCCGGGCACTGTTCAATTCTATTAGGTCACGTGGTCCAATCCACATATTGTTCTTATCTTAATTATATTTCTTCTTATTCATTAGGCTGCCTTGTTAGACGGTTTCATCATACGACCAAATCGACTTCCATAGTGCAAGAGTAAGTGTAGCTAACAAACCACAACAACTTTAATTATTAAGGTAAACGTGTTTGTAGGTATTTTAATTCAAAGTTAAATTTTTATTATTATTATTATTATTTTTATTTATAATATTTCAATCAAGCCTAAATCTAGTTTTTTATCCTAAAAATTCTAGAAGCCGTATTATTTTATATAAAAAATAAAATTTCTAAACATTGGACCTACACGGCTCAACCGAAATAGTCAAATATCCAAAACGGTTTGGACACCATTTTTTTTAGTAACTGCATAATCTTTTTACATATTTTAACTCAAAATTCAATTAAACTTTAATCCAACTTAACTCTCTTATTTTTCATCAATATAATTAGATAATATCAACCAATCATCCTCACACATTACCTCAACAAAATTTACTATTCATTCACTCTCATATTTGTAAGTACTAATAATTTTCAATCACAATTTTCTATTTTTACATCACACAAACTTTAATAATTACATTTTAAATATTATTTAAATACAAATTCCAAAATATACTCAATCAACTTTTTTCAAAATTAACTCATTTTATTCAATAAATTAAATCAGAATAAAAAAAATATTTCCAATCTATAATGCTAAGGTTTATAAACCCTAGATAGTGGGTTGAGTGAACAAGATCGAATCAAAATATATGTGCAATTTAATTAAAATACTTGTATGTAAATTGGGTACAATATAAAAAATAGAGTTGGGTGATTCTACCGTCAGGTACCCCTCGTACATGCCTCGTACATGCATAACAACAGATACCCCTCCAATTCCTGCCAAGTGTCCCTTTTCATAATTAAATTAAAAAAAATAAAAAAATCGTATAGGTTAGTACAAAAATACCCTTACTTAAATATACTAATTAAAAAAAATATTTAACTATAAATATATTTACTTAATAGTGTTTCATTAATCATATATTATTATTATACCCAAACACATTAACATATTTCAAATAAACCTCTTCTTATATTGAAATTACATTTTCTTGTATTCATCATCATCGGAATTCATCTTCATCCTCTCCATGTTTCCAATTTCCGAACAGAGAACCGGCAGCAGCAAAAAATTAAAACGATCGAACATTTTGCAATCGTTCATGAATTCATGGCAATCGATCTCTTCCTTTTCGCGTTGGTTTCAAACCGTTAAATCGAAATGTTTTGAATTCCAATCGCAGGCACGATAAACGAAACTGAAACCATATTCTGTGAATTGTTCATTTGTGTTTCGAAATTCTTTTCCAAATTTATCGATTCGGGTATGAGTTAATTAATATTCATATATGTTCGATCATTGATATTTTGCGATTTTTCCCTCTTCCTGCAATTTCAATCGCAGGCACGATAAACGAAACTGAAACCATATTCTGTCAATTGTTCATTTGTGTTTCGAAATTCTTTTCCAAATTTATCGATTCGGGTATGAGTTAATTAATATTCAAATATGTTCGATCATTGATATTTTGCGATTTTTCCCTCTTTCTGCAATTTAATTTCATGATTTTTATTTGAGGATGCGGGTTTTTGAAGTGTTATTTGTGATATACTTAGCAAACATTTTACATTCTCGACATGTATGAGGATGATGACTATGTTGTATTTATTCCTTAATGTGGTTGCCCGATTGTCATATAATCTTGGTTGAGTAAAACGTTTGAAGGATAACCAGAGTATGAAGAACACATTCGTCAACGGCAGAAGGGCTAAACTGTGTAGGAAACTACTTGGAATAGTTTGCAGGTACATGCTCATTCATTTAGATACTGGTGTCTTGAAATTTCTTCTGCTCAGAATTCCACTCCCGGAGAGTTCTTTGCAGGTGACTAAAGGAGTAGGCGAGTAGGCTGTAGCTTCTAAAGATGTACTTCGGATTGGTTGTAGTTATGTAGTGATTGCAATGTTGCACATTTTCTTTGTACTATGCATGATGACTCGAGTACGTATTGTTCAATTACTACTGAGTTGTGAAGTCTGGTATAATCTATGAATAAATGCTTGGAGTTTGTATTGTTGAACACTTTGGCAGGGCAATTGGTGTGAGAGTATTATTGTATTCATACATATTCAATGTGAACTCATCAGATTTTAAAGTTGTTTTGATGTATTGTAGACATTAATAAACAATTGAAACAAGCACAGAAGTCATTGTTAAACAATGGAAAAACACAATTTGTCATATTTAATTCTAATTCACTGTCATAGTCATTGTTAAACAATGGAAACACAGACAATTTGTGCCATATTTCATACCAATTTCATATGTAATTCGCTCTCAGATGTGTAATGTATCGTCATAATGAATTTAAAAAACATGTTTGATTAAGTAGGATGTTTCAGTATGCCAATGTAATATAACTAAAAACCAACCGAACAAAAGTTGTACAAAAAAGGTGTTAACAAAATGCTGATTACTCAAAACATAGTAAACATGTTCGGCGACAAAAGGACATAATAATTGACAAAAGGACAATAAATTGTTAATTCATACACCGACCGTACTAGTTCGCCGACAATCAAAAGCCTTATCGAATTTTTCACGTGTCCCATGCAAAATGTAATTGTTCAGACATCAACTTGAAAGACTAGATAATTGCAATTCACTCTCCTAAAGTTGAGAATGCATCCTTCAGCTATATCAGCATCATCTATGAAAGCCTTAAGTCCAGTGAATACGTGTTTGTCCCTTCCTTTTTCACCCGCACTGTCCACTCCTTGCCCCGATGACGAATAATAGCAGACTGAGCGCTATCAAATTTTCCCATAACGCTTGATTCCAGAATGTAGATGGAATTGTCTGTAAATAAAGATTAAAATTATGTCAAATGTACATATCAACAATTATTTTACAATTCATAAACAAGAGAAGTTTCGGTTGGAATAAAACCTGTCTCCCGCGGGTGACAAGGGTGAAAGAAACCTTTATACTGAAGGAACCATCAATAGTTTCTGCATCAGTAGCGCTAACTTCATCGTCAGAAATGCAACATCCCAACACAGTTCTAGTTACTTTCCTGCAACAACTAAGGCTAAAATGATAGACAATAAATGTGTTTGGACCTCGAAGTTCGAAACACAGTAGCTCATATATCTTCAGATGATTATCTCTTGCAAATTCCTTCCATCCATCTGAAAAGCCAATTCTGGATCCAAAACGCTTAATCACTACCGGCCATTTGAACGCATCATCATCGTCGGTGTTCTGAAGGGTGCATTCTATGGGAAGAAAATCTTCGATCCTCTGATTAATTTTAGGTGGAAGAGGCTAGGAAACATGAAATTTGAAAATTGTTAAGTGATGAACTAACAACATATTCGAAAACATGGCCATGCAATTGAATATCAAAATAGACCGTTTACCAGTCTGTTGCTATCGGGGTTGAAAATAATTTTCATGAATCGGTTGATAGCCAACAATTGAGGCTTGCAGCCAGGCAGTCCGAGCACATTATTCCCCCGCATTAACCGATTCTGCTGACACAAACTATTGTCAAAGCGAATAAATTCAAAATTGTTCGCCTTGGCCAGCTTGAAAACCAAAAAATCACCAACTTTTATGCTGTTATCAAGAACGAATTCAGCCCATCCATCAGTGAAACATATTCTTTCACCCAAAAATTCCACTGTCAGGTCCCAGCAGCGCCCACTTGCAACAGTGTCGCTATGCACTGTACAAGTAATGGGGAGCAGCACCCCATCAAAATACGGATCATTGGCATGGGGAATCGCCTATTATCCACAACATCATTGAAATAAAAAAACAATTATGTAACATTTTGTTAATTTATAAAATACAAATTGAATTAAGATTTTCCATACCCATTTTCCACCATATAAATTTTGCAAACAGATATAGGATAATGCTTAAAAATGCATATTCTCTTACTCATACCCATACCGAAAATTCACAGACAATTGTCCATTAACCTTCGTTTTTCACAAAACAAAAACACACAACATAATGAAATTATTGGCTAAGAATAAAGGGAATTGTATAACAATATCACCAGAAAATATTCGAGATAATGACGAGAATTTACAATCATATATCAAACAACGTTGCTTGTCTTTACATTTGGAGTACAAAATCACTATAACGCAAACGCATTTCAAAAATACCTAGATGCATCGACCGCGCCTCGCCTCGTAAACATCTGATTGCATCTGTATCAATTTTTTACGTATGGTTCGTGAATCGTTGGAACAATTGTGTCTGCTGGAAGTATAGTTCTGGGATTTTGATAAGAAAGTGAATAAATTTATGGGAAGTCGATGAAGATGAGGTTGTCGTAGAACGAACGAAGAGCAAGAATAATTACAAGAACAATAAGATTTTTTTTTTTTTAATTCGTATGATTCAGATGATAAATAATACAAAAGTTGAGGATGTAATCATATGTTATTGTAATTGTAGGATTGTTAGACAAATAAGCTAAAGAAATGTCCTTCAAAGTAAATACAATTAAGATTTTATAATTAATTTATGTTTAAATTTAAAGTAAGGGTATAATAGGTTTTTTATCATGTACGAGGTGTACGAGACATGTACGAGGCAATTCATGTACGAGGCAAATTCTTTTTTGCCTCGTACATTGAATATGTGGTTGATATTCAATCTTGAAACAATTTAATGGTTAATAAAGGGGTATCTGATGTTATGCACGTACGAGGGGTACCTGACCCTAGAAGATCTCAATAGAGTTACATCAAAATTTGACGTGTCAAATAATCACGTGGAATAATTCTTGAGCAAAGTACCAGCTTATACTAAAATCATAAGGACACGAGACAACCAACGATTTGTCCTCCCAAATCTATCTTTCCCAGTCCCATAACGCAGAGGTCAGAACTCCAAACCAGCGTCCTCCGGTTCCCAAATTAGGGTTTACAAATCTTTTTCAAAACCCTAATTCGATCTCATTCCCCAATCTTCCTGATTGTGCCATCTCGTACTCATCCTACCCACCAAATATCACATGATCACATCCCAACCGAATCATAAGTTTGCTCAAATTCATCAGGAAAGACCTCGCTTTCCCCTTATCGTTGCAAATTTATTTACAGTGTAATTCGTCATGGACGTGGACGGTGGAAGACGAATCTTCAACAGGCTTGGGTCGTCCTCTTCGACTGATAACGGCAATAATCATCATAATAATAAGCAACAGAAGGTGTGTTTTCATTGGAGACAAGGAAAGTGCACGAGATTTCCCTGCCCATTTCTGCACAGCGAACTACCAACGGCGGCTAATGGTAAGAGGGCCCATCAGGGGTTTGGACAGGAAGATAATTATCGTGGAGGTGGAGGATTGAGGAGGAGCGGGAACTATAATTTTAGTAATAACAATAGTTGGGGGAGGGTGCAGTCGAAGCAGCCTGTTAGTAGGTCCGTTGTGAAGAAGATTGAGAAATTGTGTAATCACTGGGTACAAGGGAGCTGTAAATTCGGAGATGCCTGTAAATACTTGCATCAATGGTCTACAGCGGATTGCTTTTCAATGTTGACGATGCTTGAAGGGCACCAACAGGTAGGTTTCCCATAATTGGATTGTATATTGTTCTGGCGAGTCGAAGTTTGGAATTTTGTCCCATCCTGTTGTTTCCTTTTGGTATTTGATCTGGATAGCTGTGGTTGTATTGCTGAACTGTCCATTGGTAAACCTTATTTTTTATTCCTGTAATGATTCTGGTTCAAAAGGTATATTGTTATCTAATTATTTTTAACCTTAAAAACTGATTGCTTTTGGACATGTATGGTTCTTTGAGCATTCTGTTGGAATTCTATCGAACTTTTTACTTAGTAAAAGAATTCGTTTGTCAGGTTGTGACTGGGATTGCTCTGCCTTTGGGGTCTGATAAGCTTTACACCGGTAGTCAAGACGAGACTGTCAAAGTTTGGGACTGTCAATCTGGTCAGGTTGTTACATATTTTTTAATCATATTATTTTATTCCACCTAAGTTTTGTGGGCATGCTGCAAATATAAATGCAGAAATTTTCATCCTTGAATAATCTTTCTCATTTTGATTGAATATTACTTTTCTAAATTTATGTACTTCATGGGTTAGAGTTTCTGTACTTTACTCTACGGAAATGGTTGTTTGCAAGAGGTGGTAGCTTGTAGCAAAGGACGTGTTTTGGATCCATGTACTAGAAATAGCAGGTTCAAGCTTAAACTCACATGTTTTGAGCCAGGGTCTCATCCAGTTTGTTAATTTAGGTGCAAGCTCGAACAATATGCAAAGTATCGGTCACAATATCATGTCATTTAGAGTTTAGACGTGTCGAGATCAAGTTTGAGAATCTGAGATGACCTTTTGTAATAATTAATTTTGATCTTAAAATGCTAGGGATAGTTCTTTTTACTCATGTTATCATAACCAAAAGCATGTATATTTTTGTATAACTTTTATGGCAATATGAATTTATTATTCGTGTTGTGCAAAATTGTAATGATACTTGATAGGAGGATGATCGTGTTACTTTGGGTATTGTTACTAATTCTGAAACATAAAAAATATTACAAAAGATGGTGTGCTGGAGCTTTTGAATACCTGTGACAGAGATTGTGGCTCTTAAGAAGCTTGAGGCAATCTTGAGGCTTTGAGCTTCAGTTTAAAGTGCTTTATGTTTGAATTGTAACTCCCAGCGAAGCCTCTATATCGTGTAAGCATTTTTTTTCTATATTTTTCTTCATAAGAACTCGAGATGTTTGGTATATTGGTGAATTTCTTCAATTTTGAGGTGCTTTTATGTTGTCGCATAAAGCATAGAAATATTTGTTTGTTACCTCTGTAGTTTTAAGTGTCCATTGCAAATGGAGCTGGAAGAGTCATTGTTGACAATTCTCCTGGCATAGTGCTAATAATGGACTAGATCAAAATGGCTCAATTAAATTCTAGTGCTTCTTTTATTAGTGAAGTTTCTAGAAAAAAAAAATATATCAAACGGCGCAATGCACCTTGGATCGCTACGGAAATAGCCTCCTTGTATAATTACAAGGGTAAGGTCTGCGTACAACTGACCCCCAGACCCCAACCTGTTGGGAATATATTGGGTATGTTGTTGTTGTTGTTGTTGTACCTCTGTAGTTTTAACACCATTGTCCCTTTGTAATGGGTATGATTAGGATTCATCGAAACCTATTAAGCTGTTGCAAATCACCCTATAGATTTATGAGTCTCTAGAAAGATAACACTTATGGTAGTTATGTTTAACAGAATTTGGCAGAAGTCGATTTTCTTCATTTAGGAGCATTGCAAATTTGTCATTTTTTATTTTTTTACTGTAGTAATAAATTCCTTTTACTGAATATTTAATGATATACAAGCCGCATAAGATCCCTTCTAAGAGAATCCATATTCCTATTAATGCCTTTTTGTTTTGAAGTATTCCGGAAATGCACTTAAATTTGTCTTGGTTTTTGCCTTTTGGTCTTTCTTAACAGCTTTCAGCCTCAGTGAATGTGGGAGGTTCAGTAGGCTGTATGCTAAGTGAAGGACCATGGGTATTCGTGGGTTTGACAAATCTTGTCAAGGTAAGATAAGCAACGAAAGTAATTTCATACCTTTTGCCCTTTATTTAAAAGTCAACTATATTATTGTTTCGATGACTCTCTCTCTCTCTTTCTATATATATATATATATATATATATATGTGATTGTATATTATGTGAGCGTACTTGCTTGTGTTCAGTATAAGTGCACTTACATAACTCCCCTCCATATAATAATTCTTCAAAAGAGAAATAGACTGTGAGACCCTTGTTTCTTGTCTCCTGACCATAAATAGATCATTTAATCTTACTTTTTGTTAGTACAACACATAACTTTTGTAGGACTTTATTTTTCATTTTACCCATTTGTAAAGTCTAGATCTTATTGACTATCAGATTATAATATCTCATCAGAGAAATGTCAACAGTTCATATAGACTTTTCACTAATTATTTTGTTCATTTCCCTGTTGTGTACCAGGCATGGAATATTCAAACATCTACAGATCTCAGTTTAAATGGACCTGTTGGACAAGTATATTCCCTTGTTGTTGGCAATGATATGCTCTTTGCTGGTACACAGGTATTTTTTTGGGAAAACAATAAATTGTCAGTAGTCATTTTGTTTTTTGGTCACTGTAATTTTTATTTCAAGTGTTAATATTCCTTGGACGGACACTGAAAATCACATCTAACAGATTATATTTGTGTGTAGCTGTAGGGAATTTCTAGCTGTAGGGAATTTCTATTTATATCCTTTTCCTTAATTGATGACTTAATTTTTTGATTCTTGAGTTCTACTCTTAAAATGAGTTGCAATTTGGAAAAGCTGGATGTTTTTCCAGATGCACTTGTCTTATTACACTGGATTTGATGTTCCTTTATTTTTCGACCATTTTTGACTTGTGGCAGGATGGGACAATATTGGCATGGAAATTCAATGTAGCTGCTAATTGCTTTGAACCAGCTGCATCACTCAAGGGCCATACTCTTGCTGTTGTGACACTAGTGGTCGGAGGTAACAGAGTGTACTCTGGTTCAATGGACCACTCTGTTAGAGTAAGTTGCACGCTTGGAACAAATCTCTACCTGACTTTTCTGTGAAGTTTTTTTTAGAACTTTTCGGGTGATAGGCCATAAAAGATTCGTCATTGCTTATTTGCTTCTCGGTGATTCTGTTGATATTCAGGTATGGAGCCTGGAAACCTTGCAGTGTATTCAAACTTTATCTGGGCATACAGATGTTGTGATGTCTGTTTTGTGTTGGGATCAGTTCCTTATAACGGCTTCATTGGACAAAACTATTAAGGTTTGTAGTGGGATTTAAAATTGAGTGGGATTTTACGGCTTGATTGATTGATTGATAGATCCTTATTAATTAATTGATACAACTTTGTTAGTACACTTGAAAAAGCTACCAACTCATGAATCTCTCTCTCTCTCTCTCTCTCTCTCTCTCTCTCTTTCTCTCTCTCTTTACATGCAGGTTTGGGCTGCAACCGAGGCTGGTAACTTGGAAGTCACATATACCCACAGTGAGGAACATGTACGCTTTTATACTATTTCATCATTTACAATTTAAAATATCACCCAGTATTTTTTTTTCTCCCTTTTTTTCGGGGGTTGAGAATACTGATTATGTTTGAGCTTAATGTCATGATGTCAGCAAACTAACAATACATGTGTCAATGATACTTACTGTTGCTTATCTCAAAGAACTGCTGTCAGTGATATTAAATTGTATACGTTAGAAATGACATTAGCCACTTCTACAACGTTTTCCACCTTTTAGCTCTCTATTACTGGTTAAAATACGAATATATTTGTATTTTACATGTAGAAAGTTTTCTGCAGGGCGTGCTCACTCTGTGTGGGATGCACGATTCAGAAGTCAAACCTGTGTTGTTTTGTTCGTGCAATGACAATACAATACGAGTCTATGATTTGCCATCGTGAGTCCTCACATTCTGGCCCGTCTTTGGTTTTCTTGAAAATGCTTCTTGGTTTGCAATTTCATTATACAGTTTCTTTCACCTTTTTGTTTTCAATCAGATTTTCTGAGAGGGGGAAAATCTTGTCAAAGAAAGAGATTCGGTCCGTACAGGTAGGCCCTGGTGGTTTATTTTTCACTGGCGATGGTTTGGGTATAGTCAGAGTATGGAAGTGGTCAGCAGAACAAACCACCGCATGATGGAGATAATACGAGTTATAGTAACGATATAGCCCTTTTTTTTTTTTATCCCTGATTTTATTGTCACCTAAAGGTATATGAGAAAATACGAATTTGCTTCGTGGGGACTCTGCTTAGTGTCTGAATGAGCCTGCTTTGTAATGCAATCATGGTTGGTGATTGGTGTCTAATTGAGGTAATTTCTTGTGTATTTTTCAGCCATTGGATGGTCTTGTAATAAATTTTCTATGTTGTGTACTTCCAATATGTAGTAATGTTCGCTTGACTTAATACTATATTAAAACGATTTTTTGCTATAGAGCTATAAGATAACACAACTTATTGAAATATTCACAATTATTTGATTTTTTGCTATAGAGCCAGATAACACAACTTATTGAACTATTCACAATTATTTACAAATGATCAGTGCATTAAGTTACTTATTAACTATTTACCGTCCCCCTATTACTATTCACCGCCTTTCCTTTTTTACTCTTTTGTCTTTTCTCTCTATCTTTCTAAATTCTCTATCTCTCTAAATTCCCGAACTTTCAACGAGTCATTCGAGCTTCCAAAAAAATGTCTACGGCATGGGAAAGAATTCTTCTCCGACAAGATATATATATTTTGGTTGTAAATTATTTTTAATTTTTTTTTATAAAAATGTTGCTGCGTCCGGCCGTCGCCTCCGGACGTGGCGGGGCCGTCCGGTCGGCCGGTCCGGACGGCCCAAAAAACGTAAGGCCCCGACGTCCGTACGTGTTCCCACTTGGTCGTCTTGGGTGGCCGGAAGCTCATCCGGCCCCGCCGGCAGGTCAAGAGCTGGCCGGACATTATTTTTTTTATTTTTTTATAATATTAATTTATAATTATAAATATAATAGATTATAATAAATTATAATTATAATAATAATTATAATTTAATTATAATGAAAAATTATAAATTATAATAAT